GGAAGGGAAGGGAAGGGAAGGGAAGGGAAGGGAAGGGAAGGGAAGGGAAGGGAAGGGAAGAAACCAAACTATAATTATTCAACAGAGATAGGTAGAAAATAGTATCCAGCTAAGGAACAAATTTGGGAAGGCAATAAGTTTTTCCTAATCAGAACAGAACAAGATTTTTCCATGGAGACTAAAAGCAAAAATGGGAGTGCAGAGTAAGCCTTTGCATATCTGTTCTTACAATAGATTTGTCCAGAGGATAATGGAAAGTGTGCATCACTCTTGAAAGAAGCTTCTCTCTTGTGTGATGTACAGAGATGTACATAGATTAACCTATGAAACTTATATTTGAATCAGCTATTCAAATGTCTATGATGTGACTGCCTACCAGAGAGGCAGAGGTTGAGGTCAGTTTGTTTGCCAAAAGCATGTACTGACCCAATGTTTTGGATAGCAGCCTCAGGCCAAATATTCTCTCAGCCCTGGTAGTTCTTCTGCACCCGTCGCTCTAGGCTTGCATTCTTTTAATATTTATAAAAAACAGCTTTGAAAAGAAAGCTTGAGGGAAGCTGAGGGCAGCATGTTAATCAGGAACATTGAATCGTGGTTTCCTAAGAGGTTAATGATTGCAGTATTCTGAGTTGAGTTTCTAGACCTGAGGAAACATTTCTGACAAAAAGAAAAAAAAAAAAAAAGTAAAAACAACCCCACAACAAAACACTCCAAAGCAAGCACTTAAAACAAAATAAAAAAAAGAACCAACCAACAAACCCCTCTGATTAATCATTATTTTTCAAACAAACAACTTTCTACTAAAAATTCCACTAACTGTGGGACCTGCCATGGGTAAGGCAATGTGTGCAACTCCCCATCACCAACACACACAACACTCAGGACACAAACCCTTCCTTCACAACATCCTTAATAATAAGTCAAGTCCTCTGACTGTCATACACAAGACCTGAAATCCAGGACCTTTTCCTAAATAATTAATTTCACCTTACAGCAGACACCTGGTCAGGTGAATCCTGCCTTAAAAGTGCCATTGACAATGGGGATATATACACACTTCTTGAACTTTCTGAAATGGGGGCTGAACACCAAGGGACTGTGTATCCAAGTGCCAGCTGGTTCATGCAGAACTGTCTGAGGTTTCCTTCTTCCAAAAAAAATCCCTCTACCAGAAATATGCAGCCATGACAAGTTCTCCACAGATAACAGGGATACCTGGAGTGATCCAATGGAAATAAGACAACATTGCTCATCCTCCTTACCTCTGAAGAAGTGGGTTTGCAGTAGCCAGCTCCAAACACCAGATTTTCTAATGACATACTGGATTGGTCTGGTCCCGCCTCCAGGTTGCCTTTGCCAAGCCAAGAACCTTTCCCTGGACGAGCAAAACTGTAAGAAAAAAATTTAGAAGAAAAACTAATTAGAGGAACATTGCTGGAGAAGAGTCACTGTTGTCCCAGTATTATTTACTTCCTTAGAAAATATTTACGATTTGGTGGTGCTGGGTTTTGCTTTTATTAATTTCAATTTGACACTGTAAATTCATGTTTCTCTTGAAAATGATCATTGTCCAGTGTGCTAGACGTAAGTAGCTCAAGTTTGTTTCCTAGACATTCAGATGAGTGGTTTGAGTGTTATCTTTCACTCATTCCTCTCTCTGCTGTCATACAGATCTTTTTCCAGTATAACATCTCACCATCAGAACATTTCCATCTATCCACACAGAAAAATACTCTTACCCAACTTCTCATCAGCTTGCACCTTGATGGATACAACATCTTTCTCTCTTACTTTAATCGTATCACCCTTCCTCTTTGAGTTGTGCATGATCTCTCTTATCTATCAATATCTTCTATAGCTCATGCCAAACTTATTATTATAGACTGGAAGTTTAGTTCCCACTTCTCACTGTCCTGTGACCTTAGTTTCCAGCACCAAATGACAAGACTACAGCCCAAAAACTACATTTGTTTTTGCTGGGCTCAGTCCATTCATCTGGGAAGTGTTCTCCCATATCCTTGGTGCAACATGAAATCACTGTTATCCAAATTCTTCCTCAAAACCCTGACAGAATGTAAGTTTTTTTTTCAGTGTTGTGGTCATTACCTCTCAGTGCTGACTGTTACGGACAGTGTTCCCTTCTGGCTGTATCTGTATGTCTCCTGTCTTAGACCATGAACCCATTAAGAGTGGAATATCTGAAAACTCTGGAATGTCTGCAGTTTACCCAGCCTCAAGCCCACCAGAGCCCTGATGCACAGCCAGGGATCATACTCTGGGTTATTCTGAGCAAAAGTACAGACCCCAGTTAATGATGTAGGTTGCCTTTATGTTCACTGGAGAGTAATTGGCATTTCCAGGGTATGAGTCACCTCTTTCTGAAGCAGTGATACCAAACAGATCAGGGAGATTTTACCCTCAAAGTACTTATTTCTTATTGTGGACTATAAAGAGAGTCCTCATCAGCAACTGGATTTAGATGAGATAACCTCACAGTTAGTCCCTCTGAGAACATGTGCTGTACATAAACTATATCAAGATTTCTAGATGGAAATCAGGCTACTTGGGGAGAATACAATGAGTCAAACTACTAAGTCTAAATAATGATGCAAGCAACCAGAATTGTTCTTTAAAAACACATATAGGCAAAGGTGGAACTAAAATAACTAAGTGCAGAGAAAGAAGGAAAACCCATTTGCTGTTCATACAAAGTGCAGGGGTAATGCCACCTGAGTTTGTGCTACAAGAAACATCTTAAACTGTAATGTGTGAGAACTAAAAGCCACGGGGCAGTGCCGTTCATGCTGTGAAAACTTTCCAGTCTGAGGTTGTTCCTCTGTGTAGATGTGCATCATGTGTCCACCTCAGCTCAGATCAGCCTAATTCATTGACATCTGCACCTGATTCAGTTTTTAAGCACTGACTGCTGTACAGAAAAGCACATAAAAAAATAATCATAGAATCATAGAATCAGATGGGTTGTAAAGAACCTCTGAATTGGACCACTTTCAGAAGGTTAAATGCAAATCCCTGCCTTGCCTGTAGCTCAAAACTGCTGCTTGTTACATATAAATACTGGCAAAAAGGCCATCCCATAAGAGGGAGGATGGGGTAGAAAAACTCAGCAAATGTCTGTTCTTGCTTATCTATGTTTTAATTTATGTAATCCAAGGAATTTCCTGCTGGTTGCTTCTTAGAAGCATGAAGTCTTTCCATGTATTTCCTACACACAACATTTAGGATAAAAATAATAAATAAATAAATAACTATAGCTATTTCAAACAGCCAGGAGATAAACACCACTCTGAATAATTTCAGCTGTTATTGAATGATGTTGTCTGCCCTGGTCTGCTGGCAAGGCTCAAGAAGCAGCAATAAAAAATTATTGCTGTGGTATCAGAGAGAGAAGCTTAAACAAATGTTGCCTGCACATGAAAAAGTCCTCATTTGAATATTAACAAAGCTTTCAAAGGTTTAAAGAAAAGCACTTTTTAATGCCTTTTTAATTTATTTATCTTTTGCTTTTACAGCAGAGAAGGGGTTTTAATCTGCTGGTTTTATGGAAATTGATTTTACATAGCACTGTAAAACAAAAACCTTTTTTGGGAAACGTGCCAAAACGTCCTCAGTATGCTGAGGGAAATTTAAGTGGAAGATTTAAAGACTGCTGAGGTCCCCCTAATATTTTCTGAAGTACATTGTGCTTGAAGATAACTTTTATTAGAAATACCAGGTCGGTTTGCTATTTTTTTTTAAATTATTTATTCTAATTGTTTCTGCAAACACGTTTATTTGTATGAATCATAAACCTTGTTTACCTACATGTCCATTTGGACTATCTAATAGCATTGATATAATATGAACATTTAGATCCTTATCCAGTATGTTAACCTTAGCTTTTAATTGGACTCAGGATAAAAAAAAAAGGTCAAAAGAGGTAATGTGTGCGTGTCCAAGAGGATTAGCATGTGTGCAGGACTATTAATATTATTGGTGAAATATTTTATGATTTTGTTTTTCTTTTTTTTTTTTGAGCTGGCCTTTTGATGACCTTATCTGTGAGATCATTGGTGGCGAGGCACTGTAAGAGTTTGTCCTGAGAAACTATGGATGCCCCATCCCTGGAAGTGTTGAAGAGGTTGATGGGGCTCTGAGCAACCTGGTCTAGTGAAAGATGTCCCTGCCCGTGGCAGGAGAGTTGGAATGAGATGATCTTAAAGTCCTGTCCAACCCAAATCATTCCATGATTCTGTGATTCCATTTCTTTATCCTTCAAAGGTGTCTCCCAGTTATTACAGCAACCATCTATGGACACCCAGTACAGCAAACTGCATTGAAAACTCCATTTTTTCCCTTTGTTACAACCTGCAAGATACCCACAACCAAAATGTAAGAACTTTCTGAGTCAGAGGTTGTACTCAAGCAATTATTTCCAGCAGTCATGGTTACCTTCTATGAATTTGTGTCCATGTCTTTTTGATTTATACTCTTGGCCTCTGTAACTTAACATTCATTTTGGAATGAACTGCACTCGTAATAAGTGCTGAACTTTCTGCTTCTTTTGAACTCACTGTTGGAGAATTGGATGTGGCACCTCTTGGTTCTTGTGTAGCACAAAATATTAAATAATCATTCCCAGTTTATTCTATCTTCTTTGGACAATTCTCTCACATATAAATGAGATGACAGTTCCCCAGCATAAGGCATGGGTTGGCCTTGATAAATTTTAATTCAGAAGTGTTACTGAAGCAAATCAGAAAAAATACTTCAGGGTAGTTTAAAATAACATTATATTCTCTTTCGGATTAAACTTCCCCCCAAAAAGAGGTAACCTTGTGAATTTTTAATTTGTTTTGTTTTGTTTTGGTAAGAAAAACTTTTTTTTTCTCATGAGTTTTAGTTTTTAGCAGACTTGGGGGGAGGATTTAGCAGATTGGGATCTGAATCTTACTTGGGAAAAAAAATATCTTGCATTATTTGAAAGTATGAAACTGTAAAAAAATAAAAACCTTAAAACCCCACACAATCATCACATTTCTAATTACAAGAAATTATAATCTTGTGACAATACCAGGAGAGGAAGTTCAGGAAATGAACTTTTATCCCATTTAGGCCAGATCCTTGGAGAAACCACTTATTTTTCCCCCAGTCCCTTATTCATAAAATATTATTGCTTTAAAAAATTAAAAATATAAGTCCCATAGAAATAGCAGACCTCAGAATTAAACCCTCACAGTCCCCACTGCCAGCTGTTTGCATTTCACCAGGAGCTTCCTTCTAACTCCCACACATCACGAAAATTGTAATGGCACCACTGATTTCCCTCCATTTTTTTAACTCAAAACTTTAATATAGCTTTTGGGAAATTGCTACTGGCACTTAGCCATAGGGTACATGGGTGATCTGTTATTTACTTTTGAGAATAATCTGTGGATGTTTACACATTGTGCTCCTCTAGGCGTGGGTCTCTCTTACCCAAGGAATTTCACTGAGGTTGTAATCAGTGCCTTTAAAATGTTCTGGGCTTTTTGGGTAAAACTGATAAGATTTATTAAAATAAAATTTTTAATGAAAATAGATATCTCTCCTTAGATCCCAAATGTAGTCAATCCCAATCTGATCTGAAATCTCTACAGTTTTTGACTGCTGGAAAATGCTGGTTCATTTGTCCTGAACTTAACCCCAGTTGCTATAAAATTTGAAAGCAGATAAAGGCATTTGCGGATATTTAACGTTGAGTGTTTTTTTGTTGGTGGTGTTGTTGATTTGGGTTTTTTTACATTTTACTTAGAAATTGCCAGGTTTTTCTTATGTGACTTCTCAGCTGGTAGCTCAGGAGACTGGCATGTCAAAGGGGAGGTTTATCTTTGCAGATACATAAAAAACTACCAAATAAAAGAAAATTCAAAGGAAAAATCATCCAGTCGTTATGAGGGAGTGCTTAGAGGAAAATAACATTAACCAGTATTCTTCTAATAAACTAATATAGAAGCAATAGCTCTTTACTTCATAAATATTCCATTTTCTTTCTACAGATTAATTTATTTGCAAACAGGATGGAAAGGGAAAATAAGTCATGAATTTTACTCCCCAGTACTGCATTTGTGCAGTTTCAGATGGAAGCTCCCCGTAAGTAGGTGCCAGCCACAATTACAACTGCAGAAAAATTGACCTGCATAATCTGGACCCAGATTCAAGGTGCACAGGGCAGTACAGTGTGTGTATCACTTATAGATAGATCAGTCATGCTTTTGAGGAACAGGATGCCTGGAAATAAAAGAATTTAGGTGAGATAAAATCGCTCAAGGATGGCCAGGGTTGGCCTGATTCCTCAGTGCAGTGGAGCTGAACAGAACTAGATCAGGGCTGAAATCTTGGAATACTCTGTGTCCCCTTGATTCTGTTTCCTATTTCCAGAGCAGAACAAGCTAAAGACACTAAAATACTGAGTGTCTGTGTCTTGGTTTCTCCACCAACAAAATTTGTATTATATTATTTTCCCATCTCAGATCCCACCAAGATTTCTTGTCTCTCATACAGTCATTTGATTGTGGGCAATTAAGGATTCAATGTTAACAAGTAAAATCTTGAAAGTCTATTTTGTTTTTCAAGTATAATAATGTATGAAAGTTGGGAAAGGAATAGAAAATTGAGGAGAATCCAGAAAGCTGAGAAAATTAACCTCTTTTCTTGTACAAGCAAGACAAAACAGGTTTGCCAGCTGCCTGTGGTGAAGAATCTTGCTTATCTGCAGCAATTTCAAGACGTGCCTTTCTTTTTTATTTCCTTGGTAGTTCGGGTGTTTGTTTTTTGTGTGTTTTGGTGGGTTGTTTTGTTTTTTTTTGATGTGGGAAGGAAGTGGTGCAGAGGTCTATGGAATAAATGAACCATATTTCTTGTTGTTGTTGTTTTTTGTTGTTGTTGTTTGGTTGGTTTGTGTTTTTTTTGTTTGTTTGTTTGTTTTTTTTAATGAGTCCAATATAAGAAAGGCACTGTGCCTGTAGCATGCCTGAGACTAAGCAGACCTCTACATGACAGACCTGCACATTTCCCTTCCGGAAAAACAGAAATATTTCTTGAAGTCAGAGCTTGCAGGAGCAAAGCACCTTTCTTAACAGCTGAGATTGGGCTAATAAGTGCTAGTTGCACTTATAGACTGGACCAGTTGTGAAGCCAGTGACAGTGAGCTGAGGGAGAAGTGAGTGCCTCAGGCTGGAAACCAAACTGATTTACACAAACCAGAAAACTAGAGTCCAAAAGACTTAAGTCCTCCTCCTCCTCACCTTCCTCCTGCAGCTGTCTGTTCACAGCTAGCCTCTGGAGCTTAGGTAAGAGAATAAAAAAAGGTATTTAAGCATTTAATGAAGGCCAGTGCATCAGCAGGGGAATAGTCTCAAGCTTGAACATTGTTCACCTTTTTTTGTTTATCTTTCAACAGACTTGTTGGGCTCATATCCTGTCATACTGGGAAAAATGTGTTTGCCCTTAACTTTCCAAAGAGAACTGTCACTCCTGTGATATTAGGAGAGCAGTGCCATCCAACTTCCCGCTCTAGATTCTCCTCTATTTGTTCCATATCCCAAAAGTCTGAAGTACAGCTCTATGATCTGCAGCTGCCAAAAGCATTTGGTGCAGACACAGCTGCTGTCATTGAGGAAGAGCGACAGTGTCCTGTTGGAAGGGTCTGGGTGTAGGACAAGACACAGGTGAGGGGAGCAGTATCTCAGGCCAAGAAAACAACTATCAAAACCACTGAGCCCTACATCCCAGTTCTCCTCTGTTACTGCCCCCCTGCCTGGAAAGCAAAGTTTTGGGCTTGACTCCAAGTGGTCCAGCTTCCCCATCCACTTCTGGAGTGCTTTCTAGAAGAGTCAAAGAACTCTCAAGGTCAAAGTGAGAGTTTTTAACCAATTTCTAGCTCAGTAAGGACAAGTAAAAGACACCCAGTCCCTTTCCTGCCGTGAGTTTGGACCCCATTAAAAATCTGAGGGTTATGCTCTTTAGAAAAGCTGAATCACAAAATTTTCATCCAAATTGCAAAGGAACCCAGAAATATGAATTTCACTCATTCTCAGGTTGGTAAAAGGTTAGGCCTTCAAAGCCTCAAACCTAATGTAATATTTGTTAGCTCGGAATTATTAACCAGAACAAACAACAACATCAAAATGTTCACTTGTCAAAAAAGCAGGAGGTAAGGGAGGCATCCTGGAAAGGTTTCCCTAACTATTTGTGAGTGTACATTACCCTGAAGGGAAAGGCCTGAATTGGTCTTTCTGGTTTCTCCCTTTAAATGCAGACAATGTGAAAGAATTTTGGGGAGGAGTATTTGATTTGCCAACAGAGCTAACAAAATATGAAGAGCTGAGTCCACAGGGCATATGTGAGCACACAGTTGTGCTTCAGGCAAAATGGTTTTCAAGGAAAACTTAAAAGCAGCAGTGAATTTTAATTTTACATATTTATATTCAGGGTGGGTCTAGAACTGTTGCAATTTTACATTTAAGTCTATCTATATGTGCAGAAATAATATGTATACACACACAAAGTATGTACCATGATGGGATGTTCAAGCAAACAAAACCATTGTGAAACACTGCATAGATATTTTTTTCCACATAATGTAAGTATTTCCATCCTTGCAAATGTTCGAGGCCAGGTTGGATGGGACCTGAAGCAATCTGATCTAGTGGAAGGTATGCCCATGTCAGGGAGGTTGTGACTAATTTATCTTTAAGGTCCCTTCCAACTCAGGTCACTCTGTGATTCTTTATTCCGATGTTTATTTTTTCCTATAATGTAACAAAAAAGACTTTCCAGTCATTCAGGTTCTATTGAGTTACCAAAAAAAAAAAAAAAAAAAAAAAAAAAACTGAAATAACAATGGTCTTTTTTTCTATAATCCTACTAAACTCCAATAATAAGTGATAAACAGGAAAGCTTTGAGCTATGAGAAAATTAAACAAGTTTTAGTTGGCTGGTTTTGTTTTAAAGTGCTTAGAACTGCCATTTATTTTACACTGGTGTCTTCATCCTGATTTATACTTAGAAAATGCATGATATAAAAACCCTTCAGGTTTGGAATATTTATCAAGAAAAAGATAAAGCCTTGGTATCACACTTTAAAATGATTTTATGGGCTTACGCAAATGAGACTCTATATTGTGTTGTCAAAAATCTTCATTCCACTGCATTAAGTAAGTACATGGTATACTTCACAAAGGTCCACAAAATAGTATTTTAAAAGCTATAATAATCTGACTATGGAACAATTGCTCATCATGTGATTTACGCCTAATAACAGTAACAAGCCTGTGCAGCCCCATTCACTAGAGGATAACACAGCACTCAAAACAGTCATTAAGCCTGGTAACTATTGTTCTTTCATTCTTTTCTATAGTAGAACAATAAGTAAATTATCTGAGCAAAACTATCTGGTTAGAAGTAGTCTGTTACGATCTAATTTCACCATTTAAAAAGTCAACACACAGCAGAAGAGAGATACAGCAGTTACCTGTATTACATCAGCAAAAGACAGATATGTCAGTCTGATCTGCTAATATGAGACACATCACTGTCACAGCTCACAGAATCTTAGAATGGCTTGGGTTGAAAGGGATTTTAAAGATCATTTAGTTTTAACCTCCTGGCCATGGGCAGAGACACCTTCCACCAGACCAGATTGCTCAAAGCCCCATCCAATCTGGACTTGAAGATTTTCAGGGGTGGGCCAGACTGACTTCTCAACCTCAGGCTCAACCTCTTGTATTCTCAGTTCATTCTGAGGTGTTGTGTACAGCAATGCCTTCACACAAATGGAGAACTGAAGCAAAGATGTACTAAACCAAAACATGAAACCTGAGGAAAACACTCTACAGGTTCATCTTCCCTCTCTGTCATTGTGTTCTCTGCACACTAATTGACAAGGTTTAGAGTCTTATGGTCATTTGGTAAACAGCAAGATCTTGTTGGAATTAAGGGAAGCTGAACAATGCTTAACGCTGCCTTTTGCTTCAAGATTATGGGAGTTCCCTCCCTCTCAGCACTCTCTGTCTTCTGCACTGACAAGTTTGGGCACTAAGTAAATTGCCAGAAAGACCTTTGCTTCCCTTCGCCTGCTCTAAATATTAGAGGATATTGACCTCCAGCCCTGTTTTACTTGAAGGAGTTCTGAGTTATTTTCTAGTCATTATGAATCAGATAACATAAATCACACCTAGAGCCCATGGCAGCTGGTATTATACTGCTGCACAGTCAAACCAGATAATTCTGCAAAGGATTCTTCCAGTGAAATCATATTCAGCCCTGACTCCTCTGTGCCTCCTCCTAACCATGTTATGAACTACACTCATGCACAGAGGCCAGGGATGAGCTTAGAGTCCGGCTGTCCTAAATGATCTACAAAACGTCACAGGGGGGACAAATGTAAATGTTCTTAGTTACTTTTAGACTTAAGAGGAAAAACTGGCAAGGAAAACACAATTTTCAATTTTCTCACTACAAATGGGGAATAGAGAGATCAAGACTAGTCAAAATTTTTAACCTCTTTCCCAAAATTGTATTACTTTTTCGTCAAACCCCTAGTGCTTTACTAAGGGAAGAGTCCCATGTCAGAGTTTGATTGTAAACCCCAATCTACATTAACCCAGGACTAAAAAAAATCAAAATAAATTATCTGCTCTGCTTCTCCCATCCAATTAGCAAACTGTACGAGAGAACTCAGCAGAGAAATCTCCTCTGCCTTTCCATAGACATTTCTGTGCCCTTTACCTGATCAGAGGCTGGTGTAGAGCCACCAGGGACGCATGGACTGTGACAGAGATCACTGACAGGTGGAAATAGTCAAACATGACAGGGACATGGTGGTGCAGACCTCGCCGAGGGTGGAAGTGGAGACACAGTGTTCGGCTGCTGATCATGGGGATTGCTGGAACATCCCTCAGCCTGCAAGGGAAAGAGGTTTAACAAGGGTTAGTGAAGGCCTGAGTTGTCACAGCCTATAATGTGCTACAGGAGGCAGACTGAGATATGGCTTGAGGTGTGAAATTTTATCACTTGGTAAGGGGTAAGATAACTGAAGAGTATCTTGTGCTCTACTTGTGCCAAGCATAAATATAAATATTAATATAGATATATAAGCGTTAACATAGATATAAATAATATAAATAGAAATTCAAAGAATAAATAATATATGTAGAATTATGTCAATGTATTGTATAAAAAAAGAATAGGTGCAGTGCAATTCAGGTTTTCCCTGATGATTACCTCTGATGTCCACCTACGCACTAGTTCTGGGGACATCATGAACTAAGTAGCAGAAGGAAATGCATTTAGCAAACTCTTCAGATTATCTGGGTGCTCATAGAAGGGACAGCTTACTACTTATGATTTCTGTGTAAGAACAATCAGTCCAGGCAATCTGTGAGAGTTAAAAGCAGTCCTGTGTCAGACACAGCTGAAAATATTCAGAGCACCTTTCCAGATGGTTATTCTGAAAAAATATTTGGAAGAAGTCAAAAAACAAGAGTCAGTGAAGTAACTGCAGAGAAACAGTACAAGTTGGATTAGCTTCTCCTTTTTTTTTTTTTTTTTTTTTCAGTAAATGAAAGCCAAGGCTTTAATTTAAAGTTTATTAAAAGAATTCCAGAATAACTATCCTGGTGTGCAGGCAACCACATAACACCTCAGTCCCATACAGTGCAAGAGACTGAGCTGTAAATTTGGAGTGTGCCTCACCACATCCTTCCAGTGAAAGTGAAACTTCTAAAGAGGAATTGCTTTACAGCATTAAAGACTCTTCTGAAGCCAGTTGTTTCCCAGAACTAGAAAAACCTAGGATGAGATGGCTGTGTACAGTACATGGTCAGTCCCAAGCTTCAATAAACTTTGCAGAACATTTTTTTCTAAAAATCACTGCATTTGTTTATAGCATATCAGAATAACCTTTGATATTATAACAGAAATTAAACGCATATGTTAGAGCACAATTTCATAACTTTCAGTTCTTTTTTTCCTGGCTATCATTTAATGTTTGTTTTTTCTCTCTTCAAGACCCATCAGCAGTGAAGGTCCAGTCCCACCTGCATGAGAGAAAAAGTTCTCACTTTTTATATCTTGAAGATAACAGAAACATGTTCCTAAAATTTATTTAAGTTCTCTGTGGATATGAATAAAATCACATTGGGACAGTCTCAGCATGAAAAACAGGTCAGATGATTTCTCTATGCTCCCACCCCCTACAAACCCTGCTCAAATCATTGGCAGACTTTTTCCTGATTCATTGAGGCTGAATAATATCTGGGGTCACACTTCCTGCAGTGTCTCAGGAAGGGATGCTACTCCCACTTAGATTTTAGTATCAAATGCAGTTAGATGAAATCAAATTCAATGAGAAGACTCCTTCCTCTTGAAAATATTGGAGCAGCTTTGGTTCTTAATAGGAGAAAAGTGCTTAGCATGTTCATACTCCTGTCTTCAGCTAGGAAATACTTCACTGCCTCCTGAGATAAATGCATTCCTGAACCACAGCTCCTGCCCACCTGGAGGTCAATGATGATATTCCCTTTAACAGCAGCAGACACAGAGCAACACTTAAAACCTTTGAAAAAACTTACACTTAAAGGAGAAAAAACGTTGTTCCTTTAAAGAGGAGTATGAGATACAACTTTCAAAGCAGAGAGAAGAAACAGAAAAACTTCAACACTGAGGCAAAGGGAAGACTTATCAAAGGTAACCCGTTTTACAAAGAACTCTCATTTTATCAAAGTAATTTCCCAACTGAACAGAGCCCCCAACATTACAAACTGAGCTTCGAAACAGCACTTACTGTTGTTCACTATCAGTAAAGTGCAGGTCCAGCTTGAGCTGAAAATCTGCCTCATTAAAAGCATCTTCCACCTACAAAAAGAGAAATAAATATAAGGTTACCTTTATAAATTGGCACCTTCATCATAGAAGGCAAAGGTGGGTGGGCTTGTCTGATAAGAGCAAAGGCAAAAATATGCAGCAACAGCAGCACCCCAGTACAGAGGCAGAAGGAAACAAATGTGGCAGTGAGTCAAGGAAATTGCTGAAGGAGTCAGAGGGAACCAGAGCAGTCAGAGGTGTTATCTGCTCCTGAGTGCCCTGTCATGTGATTTGCCCAAGCAAATCACTTTAGACAAGAGTAACCAGAGTGTACAGAGCTCTGCATTTGTTGGTTCCTTGCTCTTTGTGCACCAAGAGTCAGAGGAGCATTTCTGAGGCTGCTCTCCCTCCTTGAGTGAGTCGTCCTTTGAGTTGTCTTGTCAGCTGAACGACAGCAAGGAGTGAGTTTTCCTGGATGAGAAATAGCCGATAGGAGAAATTCTGATCTCCTATAATTAGCCTTTTACTTTGTGTCTCAACAAACTGAGGCTTTTCTGCGTCCTGGTGACTCTTTCTTGCCCCTCACAGATTCATGGAAGAAGTTTTCCAGTGATCCTCATCTAGACCTTTTTCTTTCCAAAATTCAAAGGCTTTTTTTGTTTTTAAAGCTTCAATTAACAGAAGTTTAACTGTTCCCTTTGTGGCAGTGTCCTGAGCATGGCTATACATGGTAGGATTCTGCTCACCAAAACCACTGAAGATACCATAGTACCATGGTACAAGATACTCACTGGTACATTCATCTAACTCATCTAATAGGTCCCACCAGTAAAATTACCCTTCTTTTACTGTCAATAAAATAGTTTAATTGGATTTTTGGAAACAGTGCTGGAGCTGCCAGTTCATTACCTTCATCTGTAAAGAGCCTCATTGGATAACACATCCCAACTTCATCCAGTTAAAACAATTCTAATCAATGGGAATAAATAAATAAATGGAATAAGGATTAAGCTGACTAGCACTTTCTCCTTCCCTCCTTAGAAATGTCTTTTTTTTCCCCTAGAAAAGTAGGTTTAGTAGAATAAAAAAAAAATAATTTCTATCAACTGAAATGGAACTATGAACAAAAAAAAAATACACGCTCTATAACCAAAACATTTTTTCCCTGTGAATTTAAGCATTCTTTATTGTATGCCAGAATACAGTAGGAGATGCACAGGAATGCAGGTGGAAAAGTGAAGTTTTTGACTGGAGATATGGTACTATAAATACAACTTATTTTTACACAATTTTTGCCACAGAAAAGTGAGGTGAGATGCTTGGGTTCTGTCTTCTGTCACTGGAAAGCAACAAGCAAAAAGTGAGCTGCTCCATCCTTAGGTAGACGTTGGAGAAGGACAATTGATTTCTGCTTGTGCTTGTCTCTTTCCACTGACAGTAGACAGAACCTGGAGAAATACGATGGTCTACAAACACTTAAAGTTAGATGTCTTATATTAGGCAAGATTAATTCTACTATCCAAAGCTGATCATCACCTTCTTAACAACAGACCATAGTAAAAATGCACTGAAGGCATCATCAGAGGCACCTAGCCTGCCCTGACAGGAAGGATCCATAAAATATATAACATGGACCAAGTTTAGCTGGGCTTTCAAAAGGTGAAACTGCATCTACAGTGTGCCTTTTCCTGCTGAAAGAAGAAAATTGAGAGTCAAGGATTGACTGTGCTTTGACAAAGTTACCAAAGATGCAAATTATAATCCCTTCTGACGTAATGTAGTATTTCTTCCAGCATGGCCACAGGCATTGAGATGTGAGGAGACAATTCCCACTTCTATTTACTGAAAATCTTCTTTCTCTTTTGTGATTGTCTCAAAACACCTGGAAGTGTGCCTTTCATTTAAAAAAATAAAAAATAAATAAAATAAAATACTTTCTCCTTTTTAATGACTTGTTGTCACTAAAAATCACAGCTGCTGGCAGTTGCCAAGAAAATAATCATTACTGAAGCTACATTCTGAATTGAAACTAGGAATTCAGTGTAGTGCTTCAGACAAAGCAAACCTCTTCCTCAAATAAAGGGGATGAAATTTTGGGTCTGTGCCTATTACTGCTGAGCACCTGCAACTGTCACTGAGATCTAAGCCTGTGTTCAAAACAAGTTCAATAGCTGGTGACACTCACTCAAAACACCTTGAGGCAACGAGCAGATGTCTGAGAGACTGAGAGATACTCTTCACTGCATGTGGTCATGCAGTGAGGTGCATGCACAGGGTATTTTTAATCTCAAAACTGTACTGAAATCAGGCTGCTCACAGTACTGCAAAACTCCACATAAAATCAATCACAGTTCTCTCTACGGAGAGAACATGTTTTCCTTTTTATACTAGCGATGTAAACATTAGGTGAAAATTGAACAGCTGATCAAAAACTGGTCTCTTCATGGGAAAATATCATTAAAAGACTTTTGCACAAGTCACACAACAGAAATTACTCACACTGATCACGTGACATGTTACTATATGGCTTTGATATTTGCTGGACTTTCCTCTGGTTTCCTTTTTTTCGCTTATTAGAGACACAGGTGCATAAGGTCCTTTACACAGGAAACCAACAAAATGGCCTTTCCATAGCTCATACACAAGGGGAACTGAAATTTCTATCACTCCCTAGTCTCCTGTATGAAATAATATTGTCCTTAAATGAAATATTGGTTTCTTATTTTAACACTAATTGGACTATTATGGTTTTGTCCACACTTATCCTTTACAGATTACAATTTGCCAAAAGTTTGATAGACTATCTATTTTGGGTTTTCTCCTGAAAAAAAAAGTTTTGAATTTTCACACCAAACTCCTTAAGAAATAAGCCTGAAAAATGAATCTGGAATATAATTAGTGTTTGACTGGTTAGGCTAAGCAGTGTCCTTCCAGATACTCTGTGAAGGATCTTCAAGTGTTTTTTTTTTATATAGTTTTTTGACCTTTCAGTTGTGTTAATTATTAAAATCACAACTTTTGAAAGAAAAAATAAAGATCCATCCTTGGAGGTGTTCAAGATCAGGTTGTATGGGACCCTGAGCAACCTGGTCTAGTGGAAGGTGTCCCTGCCCACGGCATGAGGTTGGAACTGGATGGTCTTTCAGGTCCTTTCCAACCCAAAACATTCTATGATCTGTGTTTGTAAGAATACATCCATACTAAATGAATATTTTTCTGTTCTGTAATATTCCATATACGCAAATTCCCACCTTGGGCCTAACAGCTTGTGCAGAAATACCCTATACTCATCTGAGCACACATAATTTCCAGAAGGTGCTACCACGTGTTCAGACTGTTTGCTAACCTCTGCCTCCCTTGCCAAAGGACTGTACTCACAGGGAAATGCATTTTATTAAACACTGCTCAGAATCTGTACAATAAAAAGTATTTTCATATGAAAAGTAAAATTATTTTATACAATAGAAAGTATATACAAAGCAAAGTACTCCAATTTCTGTTGAACTGGCCTGGAACAAGGTGCATTATTTCAGTTTTGCATTCGAATTTTTCAGGTTTTCATTTTCATCTTGGGCTTATCTTTTAAAAGCTGTGATAATACTTATTACTGAAGCTTCCTGCATTCTTGTGATGTCCCTCCCTGATATGGAAACATTTAGCCAGAGTGACAGATTGTATGATCTGGATGTCCCAGCTCACTTAAATTTCACTGGAAATTACAAATCTAATCCACTGTGCTATCCCAGATTGCCTCACTCTGTCCTCTCCCTGCTACTAAATTGTCCCTGAATGGTGCCAGCAAGGAAGGAGCCCGACAAGGTACCTGTTTCATCGCTTGATGAAAGAGGCAAAGACTCTTCTCTAATAAGAATGAAAGCAAGAGCTTATGAAAGTAAATTAAACTTCTTTGTAACAATAAAGGCTGCCTCAGCAATATTGTTTCCTGTGAATTCAAAAAGCTGCTGTATGCTGGGATAATATAGAAAGGGCATCTAAAAAAACTGGAGAGTTTTAAAGCACCATTTTTAAAGTGAAATGTATGTTCAATGCCACTTCTTGGCAGATAATTGACGTTTCTTACATTCAGTGCCAGACTGAAAAAAGATGTATTTACATATTTAAGCTTATCTAGGGTTATGTTAGAGGAGAGAGGGGGGAAAAGAATTTAAAAAACCCAGTAGCAAATCTAATCTGGACATCCACATTGGTTTTTTTTGTTTGTTTGTTTAGGGGTGTTTTGTCTGAGCCTATCTCAGCAAACTATCTCATCAGCAAAACTACCCAAGCACCGAGAGGAGAAAGCACATTTCTCCCTTATTATAATATTGGATAATTCCAGCTGTGACAGTAGAAACTACATGGACCATATGAACTCGATGCTCCCATTACCCAGACTAACTCCCTTGTCTACTTATCATAACTTCCATTCACACTAAAAACATTCAATAGAACCTTCACCCTCAGTCAAGAGAACTCACCACACCACACAAAAAAAAGGATTGACATCTGTTGTGTTTTAGATAAGTTGAGAATTAAGAACAGAGATAATATTTAAAACACTTTGAAAATCTCTGGGTGTCTTGCCAACACCAGATTGCAAGGATATCAGCCAACACAGGATATTATGTGACAAAGGTGTAAAGCTGTCTCTGAATAGCTGTGGATATATTTGTCTTCTTCTGAGCATGGTGCCCAGTGGAGTGGCACACTTCTGTCTCTCCCACATTTATATCAAATTTGTAAGCTGTGTAGGACAAGACATCAAAGCTGAGAAAAGAAAAAGAGGCCTAGAAGCATTAAATAGAAGTGCTAATTTGTGCTAATCTACTTAATACACAAAAATTTTTGGAGACCTCTATTTTTTCGTATTTGATTCTTTAGAGTGTCTTCAGCAACTCATCTGGGACAACAGATACATTTATCCTCTTATTCTACATCAGTGAAAACCCAAAGCAACTTCATAACGCAGAAAAATGGGGTTTCTCTGTGCAAAACCATTCTGTAAGTACAGAATTGGGCCTCTTCCCAAGGAGTCTCCTATGGAGAGCCAAGTGTCTGCACAGAGCACATCAAGAGTCAGAATGAGTTTTAGCTGTGAGGAGTCTTGTGGGCTTTTATTTATTTTGCACTTTGTGAGGTGCAAAAGTTCCCTGAATAGTATTGAAAAAATCATCAGAAATCATTCGTGCTCAACACAATGGAAACTGCTATTATTTGAGGGGAGGGATGTTTAATCAGAGATGTTCCACACAGGAAGGATAAAATTAATCTTTGATTAAGCGTGTTGGGACATTTTCCTAACAAATATTGATAAATTTGCATTTAGTAATTTTTCATACAAGCACAAAAAATTCGAGGGAGGAACAAATTGAAGACACTATCTTAAGAAAAAAAAACAAAAAAAAACCAAACCAAAACCGCAAAAAGAAAGTGGGAGAGAAAAGGAAGCATGTTAAGCTTAAATTAGGTTCTCAAGCTGTTTTAATTTCGATCTGTATATAACACATATATATGGGTTGAAATAGGACAAAAGAGAAATATTAAATCTCTTCATGATCAAATAAGAAGTTATACAAGGAAGGAGAGGTGAGTGTCCCTGGCCCCAAGTTCAACACACAGCACATGATTCACACTGGCTGTGTAACTTATAACACCTATTTTTGATGATATGCTGACTTTGTAAAGATGCTGATGTGTCTCTCACCATCATCACTTAGGGCAACTATAAATGCCATGCATTTTGTGCCAGTCCTTGGGCTGGCAAAGCACAGCTGTGACACTTTAGGACAGACTGACTGCCATTCTACTATGAAATTTCTCCCCTTGCTATTTAAGACTCCAGTTAAACAGTATTCTCCATTAACAAAGATTGCTCCTGCCTTGTAAATCCTGGCAAGGAGCCACTGAAAGACATTGTTTTCATATCAGTAACAGCAAGACATAGGTTCTCTACAAGTTGGGTGGCTCAGATCAGGTACATCCCTTGTGTGGCTGAAGGAGTAGATGGAAAATGGGGAGAAGGATCTCAGTATGGACCTATTCAAGCTGAAATACAGCAGAAAGCAAAGAGGTTGTAAATGGATTATAAGGAAGTGTAAGCTCAGCAGCATTTCCACACACTCCTGCAATCAGGAGCACTAAGGAGAAAGGCCAGGAGACCTCTGAGTGGTGGAAAGGGACTGGGCAGCTGTAGCAAAAAACAGTGACAAGAAAGAGGAGACATCAGTGATAATGGAAGAGGAAGCTGGTCCTGGCAAGATGAAGCAAATTCCCAGTTCCCTCAGGTGTGGATGATCTACAGAGCTATGTAAAGTGAGTGATCTAGTGCAAAAATGAACAAATTTTGGTTGAGACACTTGAGTTTCTGATATACTAATTTACCAGAGTATGTCAACACCTTATTCCACTGGAAAGCCAAGGTGTAGCCTACTCTTCATAACAGGCACAATGCAGAGGGTTTATCTGACCTCATGAAGGAGGTTTACAGCATCAGCATTTACAAACCATCAAATAACAACAGGCACCCTCATCAGTGTAGGTATTGATGGGTACAGGACAGTCAATCTCCTCCTAGTGCAGCTGCTGGCATACTGGTAAGGTAAATTGTGCCTTTACCTCCACCAGCTACACTGCTGAGACCTCTGACAGCACATGGACATCATGACAACTTCTTAAACGGAGTTACCCGTGCAACGCACACCTAAAGTTAGGCAAGAGGAATTCCAGGCCTCCTGGTTTTCATGTGCATCCCAAAACAACTCACCCTTTCGCCATCCAGAAGCAGGTGCACTCTGAAGTTCATTGATTCATTAAGAATGATCTCTTCATTTCTGTACAAAATCTGAAATATTCTGCTGTAAACGTTGTTTTCATGAACGCAGGCTGAGCAAAGGCTGGAATCACCTGCACAAAACACAGACAGATTCCTGGTGTGATTTCTGCAGTGAGATTGCTTTTTCTCCTGTGATTCATTTGAGGATTACCTAGCTAGTACTCATAATTAAACATAGCATTCTCAATAATTAATGGTAGGGGAACAGATTGTTATTGCGAGTTCCAGGTTCCCAAACACGATATTTAAGGAAAATAAAAGTTAAACTCTAGGCAGGCTGACTTTCAAAATGAGAATAGCTGATCCTGTGACAGCTGATCCTGTGACAGACCTCCTAGAGAGGTCTGCTACCCAGCACCATGAGGACTGTGGGTGTTCACCTGGGAAATTTCATCTTTTATCTGCAATGGGCATCTTTCAGAAGAGGGAGTGTTCCTAATAGGGAGTCTTTTTGTCATCTCTGGTGCTCCCAGAAGTTACTACCTGGGAGCAGATCTTGAACACAGAGACTAAAAGTACAGAAGGGTCTTAAAATACAGAAGCATAAAAAAGTTACCATTTTTCCAAGATACCTGTATAATCCTTCAAGCCCTTGACAAATGTTTATGGTCAATTTGGTCCATAAAACTGGGATAAATCTGAGGAACTCAAGAACCAAAATGCTAAGCTTCTCCACATCAAATTCAGCCAACAGCCTCATCTGTGTGATGTATAAACTCCGGTGGGATTTATCCTTCCTAACTTTTAGGTACCTCCAGTGTATGTATTTTGTTTTGGTTACAGTCAAGCTTATGGAATTCAGGACACTATTAAAAAAGAAATGTGTCTGCTTTGCAGTGAGGCAAATTTTTGCTCCACGTCCACTGTTTGTTGAGTAATCTCTCTTTCACTGACAGGAAAACAGTGTGACTTGCTTAACTGTACAAACCCAAATTGGAAGCAACATGTTCTACAGTGAATACCTTCCAGAGGAGCCTGTAACGACTCTGTGAACTTTTAATGAACAACTGGGCACCAGAATTAGGTACTTTCGAGTTGTATCTTGGCTGTTAATCAGAACTCCCTGCTAATTCTACTTTCATAGCCCCAGAGCAACAACTTGTAGCAAAACCTACTCAGAGCTGGTTTTATGCCTTTATATCATTCAGTCCTGTAGGAATCTGAGCTTTTGAAATATAGTCCTTCAGCAAATGTTATTTTGGAACTCTCCCAATAAGGTGTGCTTAAAAAAGGTGTACCAGAACCAGTCCTTCAGAGACAGACATAAAGAAAGCCAGAAGGTACGTGCTTTTTAGAAAGCATAGTTTTTCAGAAGGTACTTCTGAGAATTTGGACATCTGTAGAATTGTTTTGAGTCTGTGGGCTGTGGTAAGATAAAAGTCCAGGTCAGAAAGTCTTAGGGACTGCTGGTTTGTTAAGAATTTCAAAGCAGGATAGGTCTATTCTGCTGTGCTAAAGCTACTGCTTTTCACATAACTTGCAATCAGAGGTTAGTGAGTCAAGAAGAAAAGATTTCCTGAGGTAAAGTTTGGTTAGGGGGAAAAAAAAAAACAAACAAAAAAAGGTCTTTAAAGAAAAACAAACTACAACAAATATAGTAAAGGTCCTGGTAGACAAGTGAATGAAGTTTTGTCATTAAAATGATTAGTTTTGTGGTGCCAGTCTGCTGGAACTGGAATAACCCACACAATGAAATATCTCCCAAAAAAAAATAAAATCGTATGGGGCAGACTTGATTAAAGGTCAATAAGACCAATAAGATCAATAAGACCAATAAGACCAATAAACTTGAGCTAATTAATTAGCAGAACCATAGAGCTGTCATCCAGACTACACTCAAATCATTTTCCTATTGCTGACTTTCACAAAGCACACTCAGGAACAGCCCAAGTG